AGGTGATAATATAATACTAAAAACAGGAGTGGGAAACTGCATTTGAGATAGAAAATTTCCCTAATACGGCAATATGCTTTTTCAATCCACTTTCTTGGCCATTAGTGGGGCAGAATCAGGAGGCATTTTAGTAACAGACATTCAAATCATACTTTGGTCAAATTATTTGGTAATTCATCTATCATTTCCTCAGCCATTTTAGTTGATTTGGGTATATTTGCCTTATTTTATCATCAAAGTAAGAAGTCTGGCCAAATTTTCACAATATCATTTAAATAAACTCTAAACAGTTAAAAGAGTTAAACGATGGATAGATAGGAATGGCTTGAGTAGGTTTGAGAACAAATTACTTTAGAATCTGGTTACACTAATACTAGAACTTTTAAGAAATTGCACCTCTTTTTCTTTGTAAACATAAAATACACTATTGTGAACGGTTGTACAGACAGTTTTAGCTCTATCGCAAAAACACGGGTTTTAAGGTAAACCGCTAACGCATGAAGGCCCAACATTGCTGGTTTGGCATTTAATAACGCTATCAATTTTACATTTTGTTGCTTTTGATATACTTAAAATTGTTTCCAAATCCTTTTTATCAGAGAAGCTTTCTATTGTTAATCAGAGTCGCTTACACCCACCCAGATAAAAAGACAATGCGAATTCCTAATGTCTGAGTGGTTTAGAACTCATTATACATGCAACTACGTAGTTATTCTTCTGTTCAAGTGTCAGCCATATTGTGCAAAGCAAAGCTAAAAGAAATGAGAAATCTGTATCAGATGTGAAAATTAGACCTAGAACTTAGCCTGCCGTCAGTAGTACGATTAATATTGGTAAGCAAAATACTTAGAAATACAAAATCCCTTTATAAGTAAAACTTAGACATAATATACACTCTTTTGCCTTTGTAGCCACCCACCAATGTGGTATCTCAAAAGCAGCCAAAATTGTCGGCTTCATCCTTTACCATGTGGACAGTTGTTTTACTTCATACTCCTCCACCAACGTGGGTTGTCTGAAGAAGTCAACATCAGTGCGTTTTGCAACGTCATGTCTGCATTGTCAGGAATGCGAAGGGTCGCCTGGGAGTCATGGTGATCTCTGTGAGTCATCCAACATCAAATATCGACCTTTTGCAAATGAAACTAAAAATAATGTCTCATTTGTAAATCGCTTTGTGTAGTACGAATGCTTAGCCTTCACAGTTGCTTAATCTACTATTTGCTACTCACACATCAAGGCGTTCGGTCGTAGCACATCTATCTTGTGTCTATCTCGGATGCTGTCACTGATCTGGTTTCATTTCATGCGCTATTCTAACAAAGGAGTATATGCCTATCAGTTTGTCACCTTATTCATTCATCCCTCTATTACTACATCCATCGTTCCTGTAATCCACTTGCCCATGAATTATTGAGGAACAGTTTAACCTGAGGTAAATATTCTACTTTGTTTCTCATCTGGTTAAAAAATTACTGGGTAGATGACCTAGAATGGAACCTGGGCCAAATGGGGCCATGAGAGGCACAAAAATTGCACAAGCTATTAAGACAGCTTTTTTGTCGACATGCTTTCCTAATTTTCAATTGAGTGACTGTTAAAGGTAGAATTGGAACCTTTTAGGGGTGCTCTTAAATGGTTACTAAAAGAAAATTTAATCACCTGTAAATTCATAATTGAGGGCGTGTATTGGGATACCTAACTTATTTTATGGGCTACATCTTCGAAAAAGACTGGGTTTTAGTGCCTCATATCGTTTTGACTACTGCTGAAACTAATGGATGTAATATTCCTAATTTAGCGATAAAGTACATCTTCAGTGCTAATGGAAAAAGCGTCTTATTAATGTGCGGGTTCATCATTCTCTTCTATTTTATGTTGGAGGTGGTTTAAATCCATCCGCTGAGATGCAAATTTGACTGGTGACAGCTGTGATCACAATGCAGACATGGGTCAAACTTTTGCTACATTTATGCAATCATCGGTCTGATTGTTTGCCCACAGCACGACTCCTATCAACCTGACGTTTATTGGCCCCTTTTAACCTTTTTGTGACTCTGAACTTTTATAAGTATCACACCTACAAGTAAATTTCAATGTGCTTCAGTGCTTTTACGATGTGCAAAACATAACTGATAATGAAGTAGTTAAAACGGCACTTGGGAATGTCTTCCACCAAAATGAAACATTTTTACCATTTTCCATTCATAGCTAGTTGATTAACAGAAGCTCTGTTTGCAATTTAAAGTCCAGATTTTTCAAGTTATTTATCCTATTTCTGATTATTTTACTTGTATGCAATATAAAATTAAACCGTGGCAATATCTTGATACCACAGCAAAACTGTTTTGACTTTAGGTTAACATGTGCATTTTCAAAGAAAGTGTAGGTTGTTTTAACCCATGAAATTGCAATAGCACATGATGGGGTGCGTCAAATTTTAATGTCACTAACCACAAATCTAGAAAGATTAAATGCACAACCGACACCATCCAAGCTATCTCGTCAAAGCTGAATGCGCCCAATCTTAACTGAAATTCTTGATTGGTACCATTGAACTTTCAATTTCGCTGAAATCAGTTAGATAGAAAGTTGCTTCATGAACAAAAAACACAATTCTGGGAATTTGTTGGTAGATAAAAGCTTAAACTAAAAAAGAATTGCCATTCAAAGTGGAAAATTTTAAAGGCTTTGATAATGACCACTACAAAGTGTTAGAATGGAAAGCGGATAAGGAATGATTGTTTCCAAAATAACTATTAACCTTGTTGTGACAAAGCCGAATCGACGAAATGAATATCCAAGAGTTGAAAAAATGAACAACTCGGCTTGTGTTCAGACTGAAACGCGCATTCACCCAAAATTTTTTCCAAAAGCGTCAGTTGACGATGCTTAGTTCGAAATTATCCATTAGTGTTGGCCACAATTGCCGTCGGATTTCATAGAAGACAGTTCTTTTGCAAGCGGCAAATTTTACTCTTTTAGGTGATTTATTGGGTGAATTGAAGTACATGCTTTGTTAAAGGTCTGATATACAGGAATGCGTAAAATAATGTTATATCACACGTAAGCGCCATTTTGCGTTATTTAGAGAAATACTATTACGCAATTTGGCAATCAGGTAAGAATGACAACTTGAATCATTTGTGATGAATAGAGGTCTCACTTTCTTATTCACGATTTAACTGGCTTTGTAATTGGCTTCTAACTAGTCGTCGATGAAAGGTAGCTTTGTCACCTGGTTTTCAGTTGTAATTTCCTATGCCCTTGAGTGCTGTAACACCAAATTGTCTCCTATGTGCAGACGAAATGCTAAAAGGATACTTTGCAAAGCATGTGACACGGTTGTCATCTCTTCTCTTTTGTCACAAACTCGATTTTGATGTAAACGGTGCTCTCATACCTGTCCAAAAGTGAGTCTAAAATGTAAAGATAATTGTCGTCTAATTTTGTGGATCGCGTTTTGAAAAGGTATGATGAAATATATTACAGCCTAAAAAATTCCGGTTTTAAAGTCCAATCCTAATTAATACGCCTACCGAAGTATTATCACCTCGCAGCTTATACATTATTTAACCACACGAAAGAAAAACAAAAGAAAACTAATATGCTGCTGAAAGATTTGGTTTCCACTAATATTACTCTTTTGATATAAAAGAGAATTGCAAAATGCTTTGCTTTGGGCAGTGTCCCTTCCAAAATCGCATATCTTAATGCCTATTTGCACAATTTAGAATGAGCAGAATCAACTGCTTTATATTTTCCTCCCTATTCCTCTAAAAAAAGCCTTTGACCAAGTAGCCAACTTTATTGGCATTAAGACAACTCATCGACAGAATGATAGGCAATAAAGGTAAAATAATAAAGATTATTATTATCATTATTATTATTTGCTGGGATAATAACTGCAGGCAGCACACGTCACACTTAGAAAATATCAGACATATTAGTAGTGATTGTTTAGCAATAAAAAGCAAGGACTCCGTATAATCTCAATCTCCTCTCTTCCCTTTAGCCTCCCACTTCCACCTTACACACTTGCTTATGCTAATCAACGATTAGGCTTCTCCAAACGTCGTCAGTAATGGTAGTTTGCACCAGTAATAAAATATGCTGTGAGTAAACTCGCCAGGTGAATGCGTTTTGCCTATATCAAAAATAAACCTGTATCAGTATACCTGAGTCAGCTAAGCCTTCAAGGATTAAAAATATGTAATTGCTACGGGCAAAGAGTTTCAGTGTACTCTCCATACCGACAATATGATAAAGATATTTAGTACATTTTGCTCATTTGCATTCCAAAGCCATGAATTACCAAGTTTGGTAACGCAAGTGCAGTGAATAACTTGAAACGAATTCCACACCATTTTGACACATCAAATACATCACTCATTGAGGTAAATGTATTTGTAATGCCCCTTATAACACTTTACTCAAATGAACTATAAATATATTTAGAGGCAGGACATTCCAGCCATGGGTAGTGCCTGAATGTCTGTCTCTAAGTTTTGCTTAGTAAATCCTCCAGGTAGTTATTGTCATGCTGCGGATATAGGGTTGTTAGAAGGTGTGCTGCCAGTGACATCCGTGAAAAAAGCCTATCACATTTAGGAAAATCCCTCTCTTGGCATTTGCCACTGCAAAACTGTTTTCCATACACCACTCGAGTTAAAGAACCTTGTAAAACTTTCTTGCAAATGGGATGACATCGATAGCCACATTCACTTAGTAGCTGAGAATTTCATTAAGAAATAAGGGTAAAGTTGAAAAGAGTCGACTTTTGTAATTTAAGCTTGGCTTAACGCCAGTTTTGGAAGTAGGTTTTTGGTGGATTAAAACTATTTAAATTAAAAATTGGTATGAAAATAAACTTTTATGGCTAAGAGCATGTTATCACTCTCAGAAACACATCTCCTATGCATATTAACTGTTTTAGAGTTCCAAATTCTCAAATGTAATTATTGTCCTGATGGCCAGACCCATCATCAACTTACAAAAGTATGGCGTCTTATAAACGTCTACGCTGTTTGGATGCCTTGCTGCCGGGCATCGGTGTGTTCCATTTTTCTTACTGTAATTAGGATCTTATGCACATGCCCACAAATTTAATATGACTTCTTGTTTAGGTACAACTTCTTTACCACAAGCCATTGCTTCCGACACTATTGCTTGGATTCTAAAGTTGCGTTGTCCGGGCTGCTAGTCGTTTGCGTGAGAGCAGCTTGGTCACTTTCCACCACGGGGACCACCTTCGCACCGCTGAAATGATCTCGACCACCTGGGTACTTTAATAAGCTCTAAAAATAAGGTTACTTTTATTTTCGTAGTGCATAGCTCACTCTTCAACAGCCTTTATTTTTTATTTTTGCTTTTATTTTTTTTTCGGACAGCTCACGGATAGCAATAAAATGGCCTCTCGCAGGAACAGGCAATTACGTGGAAGACTCCTTCCTTTCTTTGTTAGGATTTTTCTTAATACTTTTTGACCAATAATTGTATGTGTTTAATCCTTGCAAACTGCTAATTTTATTGTGCATATCCACTTCACCACAGCTGTTTCAGGTCTTCATTACTTGTCTTTGTTTAAGGCCAGACCTCCCTCCACCAATGAGCATGCAGCTTGCAATTTAAGAGCTCATCTTATAAAGAACTTGTTGATTCCACAAATTTTCTATCAATAAAGCACTGCAAATGAAATCTTGAAGGAGATACGTCACACGAATTAAACTAAAATGTCCGAAATCTATAATTAGTCCTCATTGTGAATATTTGTGTTTATTGAACTCGCAGCAGGCAATTTCTAGCTTACGATTTTACAACAATTTTTTAACTATCCATAATCAAACGCTATGCTTCCTGGCCATTCACAGATATGTACAGCAAAGCAGCGGACTACGGTTCTCCACGCCCAACATTACTGTTTATAAGCAAGATTAGGACCGTTTACACAAGTTTTACGCCTGTCAGATGCGGCTAGACATCACTATCCATGTGTTATGCGCCATTTTTTAAAGGGAGCTTTGCTTCCATTTCTACCCTTTCTCCATGTTGTCTACCACCCTAACTCAGCTTTGTCTGGACTTGCCTACAAAACTTATGCATAAAGAGCTGTTACGGTAGTATTCCTTAGTAAATGTGGGCTTTCTTAATGGTGCCAGCAACTCAAGAATCAGTGTTTTTGTTTCCAGCCCTAGAATTTGCAATGAATATTCTTTCTTATACATTCCGCAACATTTCATAACTGGTGCTCTTACTGAGTTTCCTCGAGTGGTCAGTAAGTGCATGGCCATCCCAAAGTTAAAGAGAATAATGGTCTTATGTCAAATTTAATATCACGCATTAAATTATGTTAACTATTTGGAAAATCTCAGTGCTTTCTTTGCTCAAGCACTTTATGTCAAGGAAGAGTAATGTATTAAGTTAAACAGCCAAAATGGGCATGACAAGTTTTAGGTGCTGCTTAATGTCGCCTTCTCTACCATGTCTCATATGCTGCCCGAAAAATACGATTTAGGTAGTGGAAAATTAATTATCGCAACGTATTTTAGCCTGCTTGCCTTCATTTGTTACATTTCGGGATTTCGGTGATGACATTTTGATGCTTAGAAATGGATATACTTTTATCAACATCTAGACGACCCTCCGGTGCTTTTCCAACAGGGCGGAGACCAGTTACTAATTACAGTTTACTCCCTATATTTGCACGGTAAGTTGTAGGTGGTGTTATATCTCTTAATCGCATTTGTACGGCATGATCGTTTAATACCCAATTAAGTTGATAAATCTGGCTTAGACAAATAATGGAAAACTACAAGTGGTAAGCTAGGCAGTACTATACTCCTATTACAGGCTCAGAGTTTACATTGGATTTTATTGAATTGCCCTGCAATGCTGGGACTTCCTACCGACTGAGCTATCCTTAAGTTTCCTAAAATAAAAACTTGTTTCGTTCAATTTTGATTTGCACTACATTTAAAGATGGATTGCAGCCTAAGTTACTTCCCCATTTCTGGAGGCCATGACTAGTCATGCGTCTGCCATTAAGCAGGCTATCGTTACCATTGGTAGAATCATAACATACGAAATGTAGAACGGACTTTATTCTGTGTTGTCTTTTATCAGTGTGTAAGGGTCGCATTCGCACTTAAGGCTCCGTCATTGTACTTCCGTTTGGCGCCATGTCCTCTAGGACATGCTAGTAGCCAATCAGGCCTAAGGTGCATTTTCTCCCCCGGAATAGTAAAGTCTTCCAATTTCAGACAAGACTTGTGGCGTTGAGGCTAAATTGCAAACTTGTCAAATCCTATCTAGATTTCAACAACCCTGCATAAATCTTGCAGAACAAATATCATGCATGATCAAGCTAAATAGCAAAATAGAACTTGCATTTGCCACATATTATCCTTCCAATAGCAAAGCAGAAGTTGAAGAAGTGAATAATTATATCGAAGGTAGTAAATATCTGAGATAACCAGATTTCTTCGTAAAGTCCTTCCAGAAAACCAATGCATAACATCAAGTAGCACATAGAAATATATTTTAATGATAATTAACACCATTACCTTCTGTAATGCTCGATTCCACGAAGCATAAACTGAATATAAAATTTTTTTCTCCAGAGGCAAAAATTCTAGTTTTATTCACCTTTGCCTATATTTTTTACGTGACCGTCATAAACTACCTCAGGTTGATGTGAAGGGAATGCGGAGAAGAAGTATTTGACAGTAATTTTGTCTCTTAATTTCGTCCTAGATTTTAAATCAACTACGGGTAAGTTTTGGAAGGTGAGACTTTGTTTTGACCGTTTCATTGCTACTACCAATTTCTACAAAGTGTATTTTACATGAACGCCTCCTAAATTTTGTCAGAAGATTGCGGTCAAAGTTGCTATCAAGTGGTCCTAGAAAATGTTATGGCATACAAACACATTCGCAATTGACTGCTCATAAATGGGGAAATGTGTGCATGCTTGCTGTAAGCAATTAGTGAATCTTCTTGACTGCAATGCAAAATCTCCGTTTGTAGAACTCGCCACCGAAATTAGGTTGTTTACACTCGCATCTACCGCAGTCCAGTCAATTTCAATAGAAGTTGTTTGGTATGCTCGCGAAAATTTGATAATCAGGCACCGGATATCTCAAAATGCTCTCAATAAATACTACCCACCTTTTTTAAGGTGAGGGATCAAAATAAAAACAAGGACTAAAAGGAGAACTGTAGAGATTGTCACACGTTTCTTTGAGCTTTATTGCAATTGAAGTGGGAGGTGTTGAAACCTGCGATGTGTTTGACGGTATGATAATCATGAATTGGAATGTATATAAACTTCGGTAGAATTTAAGCTCAGGTAATCACACACCTTATAGAAGCTTTTATAAGAATTAAATGATCTAGCATTGGAAATAATTCGAAATTTTTCCTTTTGAATTGGAATTTGGCTTTTTGAAATCGTAGCCCTAATGCTCAAAATAGGTATACACATGATATTAATCCCTATCGGATGGCAACAACATTCACCTTTCGTACTCTATTGAGCTAAAACCCAAAAAAATAGTGTAACCGATGCATAACCCCCCCATTTTCACTGGAAATTTTACAAATGTTTTAAACAGAATACCTCGCACTTTCTTTATTACATTCAACTGATTTGATATTCACTATAAAGCTGCTTCCGAAACTGATGTTAAGCCAAATTTGGAATACGATTTCGGTTCTTCTCAATACTACCTTTTATTCTGATGGATTTTTTGTCACCACGTTGACTGCAACTGGTAATGGCATTAACTTATTTTGCTCTGAATAGAAGTCCCATTTGAATTATTGTACGCAAGACTGACACAGTTCTGAAAAGTGCATAAGGAATGGTAAAAAGGTTTTGTGGAGGTGTTTTCCAAGAAGAAAACATGTTAAATTAGAAGTTTCTTGCCGTTTGGCCAAGTCTTTGCACTGAGGGACATAGGGATGTCCCTTCGTTAGGGTTACTTTCAACCTCCTACATGTTCAAGTGACGGTCTCTTAGTACATTACGAAAATGACACCAGTTGTCAAAAGAGAGAAGCCATTCCAGTCTTTCAGCTCCGGCTCTCTGCTACTTGGTGTTCGCCTTCGATAACAAACCAAGAAAGAAAAGGTTACCTCCCATCGTGATGTGTTCTCTTTACAGCTGTCACGAGTAGAGCAACCTCTGGTGTCCCTATATCCACCGCAAGACATATTGACATGAAAATAATTGGCTCACAAATAACGTTGAAATGGTTTGGAGACGCAACCAAAGACTAAAATCTCCTGCCTTAAAGCCATTGTAATTGTTCGTGGCAAAGCATTTTAAGAATATATAAGGCAAAATGAACATTTTCTAACAAACGTCTTTGCTTTATTTGCTTTGAAGAACACTAAAAAAATTTTTGAGTATATTTGAAATAAATAATAAAATTTTTCTCTAATTAAGTACCGAATTGCATCTAGCCTCAACCAATGTATCTTCTTATCAGGACTAACTAGTGCTGTACTTCCATTAATTAGCCAAGTCAAAACCAAAGGGAACCCACTTTCTGTGTGATTTCCCTTTCTAGTCAAGACAAATCTACTCTTCAGAGTTTATAAAGCATCTAAAGCATCTGCTAACATTGGAGTCTAATTACATGTCAAGTAAAAGTTGTGCGCTCTCAAAAGGTTCGCCCTTAGTTAAGCTAAGTTTAAGTGGGCCACCTATGCTCTTCTAAGCGTAAAGGCAGTAATGAAATAATTAAGGGGATTACTTGCACTCCGCCAAAATTTTTCTCACTGACAAATTCGAAATTTATTCTTTTCGGAAGAAGGCTTAGAATTAACGTAAAGAGGGTAGAGGGAGACTGCAGATAAGAGCAGAACGTTAAAATTTCAACTGGGAATCCGGAATCATAAAGACTAAAGAACCAAAATTACAAGGCTCTCTCATGCTCTAATATCAAGCAAGAGTGTCTCTTTACTTGGTCTGTGGCTCTAGTAATAGAAAGTTAGTCACGGGCTGAGAGAATGTCAGGCGTTGGGTTAGTTGATTTCAATATCATTGAGGCAACTTGTCGAGATCGATGAAACCTAAGTCTTGTCCACATTCTAAACAGCATGGTGAGGAACTTCTGGCAACGTGCACTCCGAGACCAAATTATCCTCTCCAACGAGCGCAACTTACGTATCACTCTTGCTCGTACGTTACAGCAGATCTATTTAAGAGACCGAGAAGGGTATCATGCGTTTACCTTCCTTTGCCATTGGATTTTAGTTTTGCCCTTGCAATGTGGTTCAACCCCAATCAACTCATCTTCCAAAAACTTGGAGGAGGTATCCATGAACTGTAACAGTGCTTTAAGAAGAATATTTAAATCGTCAAATGCAAAGGAGCATTTTACACTTCTTTGTTTTTCCACGGTAGCATATCAGGGTAGAATGGTTTTTCGAATTTAGCATGTTTTTCACAACCTTGCTGTCATGGACCTGTGCTCATTTAGCCCTCGGCAGTAAATATTTTCAATAGCCTTTAAATTTGTTGGACAAGCCCCATACTTGGGATTTCTGATCATTCAGGCCATAATGATCCGCTTTGAGTACCCTTTA